ATAGCCGAGGTGGGAGCTCCCGGTCTTCTTCCTCCCAGTAGCGCTGTAGTACCCAGCGCTCCTCCAGCCAGTGCTCCAGCAGTGTGTCGCCAAACTTGCACACCGAAGAATGAGGCTGAGCTCTTGGCTCAGCCCGAAGACATAGCGGCCTACTTGCCTCTGGGGCGGTGACTTCCAGGCCGCTCGGCCTCCCAAGCAACCGGTACCTCCTCCCTTTCGGAGGGAAACATCATTGCAGACTCTGATATTGCCCATACAGGCCCTAGACTCAGACTGGTTGGACTGGTACTCGCCTAGACCTAGCCTACCGCTACTAGGCCTCTGAAAATGCCAACTTTGTCTTCTTCTTCTCGGCCTCGAGTACCTGGCACATCTACTTGTACTTGGTGCGGTACCGGCCTTTACGCTGCTCTAAGTATCGCGGGCCTCTTGCTCCACCACTTGAGTGTTTTCCCCCGCTGCAACCCTCAATGTCACGACCACAGGTAAGTTCCGGCCTTACGGGCCTCCCAAACAAGCAAGTACCCTTGCGGGTCACACACACACTCAGGCCGACAAGCACTCGGACAGACACACAGGTCACCAAGCACGCACACACACACAGAAAACTCAGCAGAATGCGGGAATCTCAGCAAGGCATCCATTCCGTCGGCAGAACTCAGAAATCAGCAGTGTTCTCAGTCTGTGTTATGGCGGGTCATTACACTACCCCCCGTTCAAGAGCGAGGTCCCTTCGAATGAGTAACTCACTCAGAGTCCCTGCATAACGCATCATAAACGTAAATGGCAAAGAGAGATCGGGTATGTTCCGTAGGAGTGAGGGTAGCGATGAATTTGGTTGCTGTTTGGAGACAATCAGTCGTTCATATGCTTTGACGACTTGCGGGGCAATCTGCAGCAAGTCTTTCTTAGAAACCCAGTAAAAATCATCTAATGGGTGATACAGAAAATGGACTTTGTATTGTCTGTTTTTCCCTTTTCCACTGTGTGCAACAATTCTATCAATCTCGTGATGACCATTGATTGCACGAGGGATCATCCATTCTCGATACAGAAAAGTTTCAGGTGATACATACAAAAACAACTTCGATGCGTGAAAGACTAGGTACGTGGGCAAATGAGCAGGCACGTCGATCGTATAAGAAGGACCGAATGAATCATCCCCTACCTGGTTCAGCACCTTCCACAAACCGTAGTACGGAGGAAGAAGCTTTCGTGATACACCTTCTTCTTCAGAAAACTCAGACATTTTGACCCAGATGTAGCTTCCCACTGTGAAAGGTGCAGGCTGGTGCTTCTTGTAGCATGTTTATTATTTAATCATGGCACTGCGTCACCTTTCCATAGCTGCAACAACAACTCTGAGCAAGCGATCAAACTTAGCAATGTAGCCAGGCGAGCCAGGTGTTAGACCAGGTGTCGGGTCAAGAAACAGATAGGATAGGGGATTGCGAATTTGCCACCCGAGGTGCAACCGATTAGGTGTCATCCTGGTGGAGGAGTGTATGGAGTTGTTGTACAACCCCTGCACAATTGGCAATTCCTCATCCCATTGGCAATTCCTCATCCCAAGAGTTCTGATGAGGCCCAATTAGAGCTCAGAGAAGTTGGATCACAGTCTGGTTGATCTCCTCGTCCAACCCATGGGCTTCCGGATGTCGACCGGGCGTCATCTTGAGTTTGATGTCATAGATCTGGGAGGTGAACTCCTTCCAATCTGCACTTATGAACCTAGTGTCCAGGTCACTCACAAGATTCTTCAGGGGACTATACTGCAAAATGTACCTCTTGTTAAACTCCTCGATCACAAGGTCAGTTGGGGCGTGAGGTGGCAATGGAATCAAATTCAGAAATTTTGAAAAGCGGTCAACGATCACCATTACTTGCGAATATCCGTTTCTATTATTCTTTCCCATGTCCGTGAAGTCAATGGAAGCAGACTCACCCGGGCCATCAGGGATAGGAAGTGGATGCAGCAGCCCATAGGGTTTTTGCCAAGATGGTTTGATGCGTTGACAAACTTGACACTGAGCCACAAACTTTTGTGCCATGCAGCAGCCCATAGGGCTTTTGCCAAGATGGTTTGATGCGTTGACAAACTTGACACTGAGCCACAAACTTTCATGTCATTCCTTTCATCCCAGGTCATACAAACTTTTGCAACAGGCTTCCGTATGTCTTCTCAAAACCGAAGTGTCCACTTCGGCCATGAGTCAAGTCCAAGAAGTGAGTACACATAGGCTCATGGTTGGGTACACACAATCGGTCCTACATAAGGCAAGTTGTGTACTCAGCGTGGTGAGACAAAGCATCCGCAACGCGATTATAACAACCTTTCTTGTGTTTGAGTTGGAAATCATACGCATCAATCTCATGCAGTAGTTGATGGATTAATTTGTGTCTTGATCCATTTCAAAGTCTCGTTGTATGAGAACACTTTGAAATGACGACCGAAGAGGTAGTGTTTCCAATGATCTAGTGCCTCTCTCAAGGCATAGAGTTCTCTCTTGTAGGTGGAGGTAGCTACTTTGTGACGGAGCATGCATTTGCTGTCGTACTCAAGCGGACGTAAGTCGTCACCATCATCTTGCTGCAGCATTGCGCCGATCTAGTACGAGCTCGCATCCGTAGTTACTATGAATGTAAACTTGGGATCGACAATGCAAAGCACCGGATGACTCACCAAGGCCTCCTTCAATGCTTGGAAGACAGTTGTGCATTCCCCATCTCACGTGTAACACACGTTCTTGCTTGTCAATTTGGACAGCGGGCAGGCGATGATAGAACGTTTGGGCACAAACTTATGGTAGTATGATGCGAGACCAAGAAAAAAATGCAACTCTCAGACATTTGCTGGTTGAGGCCATTTGCGGATGACCTCGACTTTGGTCGCATCGGGCTCTATGCCTGCGACGGACGGCCGATGTCCAAGGTAGATGACGCTGTCCCTCCCAAGCTCAGATTTTTCTAAGTTGAGATGGAGCTGCGCATCCTTGAGGATCTGCAACACTTCCTCAAGGTGTCTCATATGCTCCTCCATCGACTTGCTGAAGATTAGTATGTCATTCAAATAAACGACAACAAATCGATTGATTTGACTGTGGAATACCTTGTCCATGAGACTTTGGAAGGTGGCTGGTGCATTTGTGAGACCGAAGGGCATGACGGTAAATTTGTACAACCCATCGCGAGTTTTGAACGCAGTTTTATGCTGGTCAGCAGGGTCGACTTCAATCTAGTGGTAACCAGACTTGAGGTCGATCTTGTTGAAGAACTTGCATCCACCTGAAGCGTCAAGAAGATCATCAATGCATAGCAAAGGGTAGGGTATGCATTCTTTCGTGTTATTCTATTTAGTCCGCTGGGGCACCGAATTCGGATTCGCTCGGCTTGATCCATCCTTTTTCAAGCATGCCATCGATCTGTCTTCGCAACTCCTCCAATTCGTCTGAGCCCATTCGATAGACACAACCTTTTGGAGGAGTGCTGCCTTCTATGAACTCGATCTTGTGTTGGACGGGACGCACGGGAACTCCACGTGGTTCGGCCAAAACTTCAGGGAATCGGTTGAGAAGACTGCGGATCTCTGATGGGATCTCTGGAGGTGGAGAATCAGAATCTGGTGCAAGCATATCGAACTGCATAGGTGCAGCCAAAATAACAGGATTGGAAGTAGATTCATTTGGACTAGAAGTAGATTCCGTAGAGGTAGAAGTTGTTGTATTGGAAGTGGAAACAGCATGCAAAGTAAAACCATCACGTACAGCAAAAATAGAAGGCACATGTGCAGGCCTAACAAAGGCTATATACATTTGCTCATCATCTTTGCGCCTGCGCCACTTTTTGCAGAATTTCATTGCATTGAGAAAAGTCACTTGGGACTCGTGCGGCTCGTCCAAGAGGACTGGACGCTCGATCCCCATGGCATCTTTGACCATGAACTGTGAGTCATTCCACATGGTTCTTTCGGATTGGGCCTGCAATCTCCCTGAGCATTTGCCCGGATGATGAGGCTGTCGTTCGCTGCAACAGTTCGTTGAGTCAGAAACCCGCCGGCTAAGCTTGAAATACTTGATGGTAGTTACTTCGCTCCTAGATATTCTAGACTGTAATGCAAAAAAAAAAAAAAAAAAAAAGAGAATGAGAAAAAAACTTCAATTTTTTTGTCAGTTTCATGGGAGTAATTATCAGCCCCCTGTAGATGGTTCACGCAGACGGCGTGTTCATGGTATCACCAGCAACGCAGGTGAAGGGGGCATCAACCCATCAACCAAGTCCCTCAAGGTAACTCGTCCATTTGGGCGATAATCCTTTGTGCCACCGGGCAGGAACATTTTTGCACAGCGTTGCAAAATTATTTTCACGATGCTGCGCAAGAAGCACATCGTACTTGTGTGCATACTGACACCAGGACGTGTTTGACTGAAGTCTGGCCGGTGTTGAGAGGGCAGTCGACAAGCAGGAAAGACAGTCCTGGTGCGAGTATCTCCTGAGGCATGGCCCCCTGCACAAGGATGTCAAGCACGAATCGGGAAAATGCTCAGACTGAGGCTGTGACATGATGGGTATATGCATCTCATACCAAATAAGTAACTTTTCGATGTCTAACGAAATTTGGTGTGAGCATTTCTCGAAAAGTTATGGGGTCTCAGTTGTCTGGTCAGGAAGTCTTGGTGTGAGCATTTCTCAAAAAGCGCATGACAGATTCACAGCTTTGTGCGCAACTGAAAAAAGCACACATTGCAGACAACTGTCCAGGTCAGGAGGTTCGGCTGTAGACGGACGAACGGACGAACGGCCGGCCGAGTTTGTGGGGTCTCGTGGGACAGCATGTTTCGAATCTTCCATCCACAAGAGCTGTTGTTTCCATTGATTATTATTTCTCCATTTGGACGGTTGTCTTCGGTAATTCCGGATCTTGTGCCAACCCTTTTTTTTTCTTGGGGGGAGGGGGGGGGTGTTCCTGAAGCTTTTCTGAAAGTTATTTCATATGTGTGCAGATCGCGAGGATCTGCAAAAGAAGCTCTTCACCAGCATTCAGGTGGTAAGTGCCGTAGTACTCATTCCTCTCCTGTGTTGTTGTTTTTTCCTTTTTTTTTTTCTTTTTTAACCTGTGAATGTTCATGGCAAGTATTGCAGCCTTATCGAGGTTGTTTCGGCGGTGTCCTTCCTCTTTTTTTTTTTTGTGTGTGTGTCTATGTAATTTAGAATTGTAGTATTTTACTCATCTGCTTCCACTGGAGTTCGAACTCCGGTCTGTATTTCAACCGTTCAGTTCAGTTCAGGGGTGTTTTACCAACTGAGCTAGCCAGTTCGTTAGGCGTACCATTCCTAATATATTGCTATGAACTCATCCGTGGTAATCCTGGAAATATGACTCCGGGCTTAAGAGAGAGCGACACTGGATGAGCTCACGATCAACTGGTGGTCAAAATTTTGGTCCTGCAGCACCACTCTACTCGTCTTCCCTTCAGTTATTTTCGTTCTTTACTTTGCCCCATGGCTACGCCTGACCCATACCCGGACACTGTGTTCACCCATGTCCGGTCAGGTGCAGACGTCCGGACCTCCGGACATGTACGGTTCCGGACCGGTAAGCAGGTCTGGAAATGTCCGGACCGTAAAAAAAGGGGAAAAAGAAAAAAAAAAAATCTGAAAATAACAGTATGCTATGGCAGCTATGCAGAATACCAAAATCAAACCACTTTTGCCTCAGAGTCATATCAGAATTCCTAACCAACCTGAGTTAAAAGTGAAACGGTTTTCACCTTTTGCAGTCACAGATGCAGATCCCAGGGATCGATCCCCAGGCCTTACCTTACCTTACCTTACCTGTGTACAGTATCAAGTCGACCCTGTGTGTCTTGAACCCGTGACCTGTTTGTTAGTAGTTGAAAGTTGTGTGTCGTAGGTCTGAGTAATTGTCGGGTCTTGAACCATAGACCTGTCGAAGTAGGGGTCATACCTGCATAGGGGTCATAGTTGTTGTAGTTCTGAAAGGTCAAGGTTGTAGCTGCTACAGTCCTGAACGGTCAAGGTCGTAGCTGCTACAGTCCCGAAAGGCCAAGTCCGCAAACTACCGGAAGGTCCGGAAGTGGCCTTTCGAGAGTTCTACGTTTGGCCAGAGGCATGTGAGCAAGTAGGCAGTCCAACTTTGTCTAGTCAGCGGTACCCAGTCCCAGTCTTACTTTGTCCAGTCAGCAAGTACCATGTGGGCCTGTGTGCACCGTGGGCCCGGTGGAAAGAGGCAGACCAGCGGCCTCGAGAAGTATAAATCAAGAGGCAGCGTCCAGCTATTCATTCATTCCTGCGCGAGCCATGAGGAAGCGCTGCCCTAGCGTCTTGTGCGACGTGGTCTGCAGATTGCCCGAAGTCGAAGTGGTTGATGCGAGGTTAGAGCAGCCATCGCTGGTTGTAGTTAGTTGTAGTCGGTGGCCATAGCTGCCATAGCTAGTGATAGGTGGTATTGAGAGTGAGTGTGTGCGTGTGTGAACGTGCGTGGGATATGCGTGTGAACAGTTGGGTGAACACAGTGTGGGACAGAGGATGTGTGTGCGCTCAGGAAGCGAGTTGTATCTGAACTGTGTTCTCGGTTTGTTTATCTCTGAGCTTTGTGTGGGCGCACAGCGCCAGTGTGAATCGCCATCTGTTTGCATGTATGCGAAGTGAAGAAGAAAGTGAGTCTGATTGCAAAAGTCAAAAGCTACAAAAAACATACGAAAAGTAATAAATTATTAATAATGTACGGTCATTATAGCTGTATTTGGGGTGTCTTTCAGACTAAATACAGCTATAATGACCGTACGTTGTATTCGGGGGAAGAACGTAGTAGCCACTAACCAGTTCTTTAAATCCTTCTGATATGTGTGAACTTCCAGTGCTCCTCCCTGCATGCATAGATATCCTCGGAACACCTCCCCCTCCCCTCTCCCCTCTCCTCATCATTAATCTTTTTCCCTACTTTATTTTCCCCTACTTTTTGATGCAACAGATCCTACTCTTTGTCCCTGCCACCGAAGAAAGAAAAAAAAATGAAGTATGTCATCGATTCAATTGCCGTTTTATTTTATCTTAGGCTTCGTTGTCATTCGTTGGGATTGACCGTACATGACTTCACACACAAAACAACACAAAGGAGCCATCCTGCTACCCTCTTTCGCATTCCCGCCCTGTTTTCTCTGATTGTTCATCATACCTTTTTGTCGCGTGCAGCGACAAATAATTCACTACCCCAACCACAACTTCATTCCGTTGCCGTACTTGGGTTGCAATCGACTGTCCAAGTCACCACCTCTGATTACAACCCTACTCCCATCCCTTAGACACGGCACGGGGGCGAAGTCGTGCAGGCGCATCTTGTCGTGTATCATAAATAGCTTGTGCGTAAACATTTCTCGTTTCGGACGTTTCCCTTTTTTTCCGTTTTTTTCTCAAATCATGGACAACAACATGGACTGAACAATCATATCACACGTAGCATGGATATAGCACAAGTCATATTTGGGGATGGCATGGACAGTGTGTGTTAACATAGCCTGGACATGGCATGGGCATATAATGGACATAGCATGGACATGGCATGGATATAGCACAAGTCATAGTCGGGGATAGCATGGACAGAGTGTGTGAACATAGCCTGGACATGGCATGGATATAGAATGGACCTGCTGCAAGCATAGCCGCAGCGAGGAATCCCTTCCCCCCCCCCTCCCCCCCTTGCACAGGGGCCATTTTGCTAATTACCCTTCTCTGTCTCGTTCCAATTGTAACGGATGTCCAGAAGGACGTAGTGAGGAACCACTTTTTTTTTCTTTTTTTTTAAAAAAAAAACAGAACCTTTCGGTTCTGGCTCCTACCATTCTGGGGAGCGACAGTCCGGTTCCTTTCCCCCGGCAAGTCAATAATAGATACATAAGAAACTCACGCACGCTCCTCCCCATTATGGTTGGGAGGCCCGAGTAGACGGCATTGATTACTTCCGTAAGGAAGGATGTACCATCCCTCGCCCCTGCTTAAGTAAGCCTGAGTTTTTAGTCCTTCCATCATCCCTGTGATCCCAGTTGGACTCCTCTCAGTTCTACTACTGTCAGATAATTGTGTTCAAACTAGAGTCGCTCGGGACCCCTCCCGAAATCCCTGACACCCCAAACCCTGTTTGCCTTGCTTCTGTCCAAACTTTAAACCCTGAACCCTAAACCCTCAGCTGTAAAGCTGTGATAATTTAGGCTTACTGCCCCGTTTTTAACTTGTTACCCTTAAATCCCTTCTTATTCCCTTAACTTCTTATCATCCTCAACCCCCTCTCCATTTAAACAACAAATGTGTACCCTGGATAACTGCTACTGCTCCCTGTCCTAATATGTTCTGCTTGAATTTCCTCATTATCTCTTCTTCTTGCTCTGGTTGTTTYCGTGCCTGATTCCTCACCGTTTTCCACTGCGCCTYGAGATGTGTTTCAAGAAGTGTGAGGAAACTCTCCCTAGCTTCCTGCCTATGCATTATYGTTCCCTCCATTGTGGCCTGACATCGACGCTTCCAAATGGTCCAAAGCCCATATTGGCGTAACAACTGGAACATATGTTTCAGGAAGGGTTGCCACTGTTTGGGGACCCGTAGTCCTAGTAGCAATGTGATCTTTGAGTCCGGGAAGGCAGTGTCTGTTATTTGGCCCCAAATTCTCTTGACRTCATCCCACATCACCAATGCTTCTGCGCACTCCAGTAAACAATGCACCATTGTTTCTGGTATACCCTCACGGCATACCCTACAGATCTCACCCTCCGCACTTCTCTGCCTTTGACTTCTTCTATCATTAAGCCAAACATTCACAGGGAGCGCGACGTGGGCTATCAGCCACTGCATACTCCTAACACGTCCTAGCCTTATTGCCCCTATGGTTGCCCATGGAATTTTTGACATTTGACCTCTAGGGACCCCCACTCTCTTCTCCCATCGCTTGAGCAAAGTCTGCGTCATGGAGTGATTCCGATTCCTCAACCTATACCCTATAATGCAGTATATTTATTCTCCTTGCTACCCGTGTTTGACCCCTCCTAATGTTCCATGCCCATTCCACAGGGTCGATTTCCAGTTCTTCGATTGGCACTGCCGAGTTGTAAATCGCGAAAACCTCTGTTTCTATCACCCTTACTTTCCGTAAATACTGTTTAAGGATGTATAACGGTGCTTTGGACATCAAGTCCAGTTGGGACGTAGTATTGGAAGGATAGACTATGTCATACTTATCCGCTATTAGCCAGTCGGGTCTGGAAGTTTCTATACCCCATACTCTGAAGACCTCCTTTGGTTCGTTGTCCTCCTCCCATGTGGCCCAGTCGCCCATACCCCATTTGCTTTCCTGACAATAGCAGCTGCTTCCATGTTTGTGGTATGGCTCCCTGTACCAATCCCAGATTTTCAGGTAGTTTGTGACATCCTTTCAGTTGTCTCCTTAGTTTTGTGGCTGTTTTCCACCTCCTTTCCCCTTCATCCCAAATATGTTTGATCTGCCATACTCCATGCTCCAACCATCTACCCAACCTTGTGTCAGACACTGAAAGCGTCAGCGGTTTTCCTTGTCCATCCTTAATGCTTGCATTGCAGAATAATGGCTTCCTGGGCACTTCCTCCCTTGTTGTAGGTTCTTTAACTCTTGCGGGGAAAACCTCCTTCCATAACTTTATGAGTTGCACCCAATAAGAAAGGTTCCGAACTTCGTCGTCTTGCATTGCATTATTGCCCTCCCTGATACCTACCTTTGCCCAATTTCCACACATGATCCAGAACTGGCCCGTCATATTACTTGGCGTTTTGTACCTTGCTAATTGTCTTATCCTTTCTAACACCAATGATGCCCATGATAACCTTGGTTGCGAAATTAGCTTTGTGACCCATTTGGTTTGAAGCGCTTTCAGCTGAGTGTCTGGATCCAGCATGCCAAGGCCACCCTTTTGCTTGGGTCTGATAACATGTTTCCAAGCTACCTTAGATATGAAGTGGTTGGTGTTCGGTTTGGCTGTCCATAGATACGCTGATGCCCTTCTTCTTAATAGGACTGTCGTCGGTTTTGGCGGAGACCAAATTGATCCAGCATACCAGAGCATGGAGAAGATGGATGCGTTAAGTATGAGTGCCCTACCGTATATTGATGTATACACTGCCGACCATGCTCCCAGTTTCGCCACAATCTTTGACATCAGGTCCGCTGCCATGGAATAATGTGTTCCACCTTCTGTTATTTTGATGCCTAGATATCTAAGCGGAACTGTAGTTGTCATCCACTGGAGGCCCTCCGGACTGTTAAGTGGGAGTGTGTGTTCGTGCTGTTGTTCTGTCAGCCACCATCCAATTGTTTTTTGCCAATTGACCTTCATTTCTGACGCTAGCTGGAAGGCTTCCATTGCCCTTGTTAACGCCTGAAAGGAGGAGTCTGATGCTCTGATAAGCACTTTTAAGTCGTCCGCGAATAGGATAGTAGTCGGGAGATATACCATGTGTCCCTGTTGATCCGGCGGTGCTATCAGTCTCTGGATCGACGGATCTTTCCTCATAAAGGAGGCTACTGCCTCCATTATGAAAAGGAAAATGGGTGCAGCCAGGGGGTCCCCCTGTCTAACTGACCTCGACATCGCGTAGATTGGAGTGAGATGCCCATTAACCTGTGCCTGCCCTTGTGCGTGGTTATAAAGAACCCTTACCCACTTACGAAAATTCAGGCCCACCCCCATCCTTTCCATGCATTGCTGCAGGAATGGCCAGCTGACCCGATCATAAGCCTTTTCGAAGTCAAAAAACAATACTCGCTGCATTAATTCTCCTATCCCTTATGTACCTGATTGTTTCCGTGAGAGTCATGACATTATCCAAAATGAACCTTCCCGGAATGAAACCCGTTTGATCTATATGAAAACAGCTGGCCGTAATAGCCGATAGACGGTTGGCTAGCGCCTTGGCTACTATCTTGTGCGTGAGGGTTAGCAGGGTTATTGGCCTATAGTTGCGTATGTCTGACGGGCTTCCTTTCTTATAGAGAAGCGTAACTATCCCTGTTGCTGACTCCTGCCCTATTCCTTCAGCCTGCCATGCATGCTCTAGAAAGGCTAAGTATTCGTCTCCCAGAATTGCCCAGAACTCCATCCAAAATTCCCTGGTGAGATCGTCTATTCCTGGGGTTTTGTTTGGGGCCATGGAGCGTAATGCTTCCCACAACTCCTCCTGTGTTAGGGGAGCGTCCAATCTTGCTGCGTGAGGCGGCGAAATTGTATTCTGCAGATGATTCAGGAATTTGGACCGTGCTTCTATCACCTGTTCCCTTGAGTAGTCGCTCTCTCTCGATCTATACAAATTGTTGTAGAAATCAAAGGCTATCCCAAGCATTCCTTCTTTGTCTGAGGTTGCCCCTGCTGGTCCGTCGAGTTTGGCTATGAGATTGTTCCTTCCTCTGGATTTTATTTTTTGAAAAAAGAACTTAGTCATTTGTTCCCCTTCCTCCCATTCCCTGACTCTAGCCCTCATTTGCAGCCCCCTTGCCCTCCATCGCTGCCATTCTGCCATTTCTTCTCTTGCTGCGTCAAGCGCTCTTTCATAAATTTCGTTTCCTGGAGTATTAATAATGTTGCGTTCTACTAGTTTTATTGCTTGCTGTAATTCTAGCTCCCTTTCCTTTCTTCTAGCAGCCAATCGGCGGGCGACCCCTGCTGAGGCTTTGGATAGTGCTAGTACCAGCTCGGGAAAGGATTGTGTATTGGGATTATAATCTTGACACACCTGAAGCACTGCCCCCCTCATTTCCTGCGTACTTAACAACGAATTGTTTAGTTTATAGAAACCCTTACCTCTTTTGACTTGCTTATCTGTTACCAGGTGTAGGTGAACCGTCTTGTGGTCTAATCCCGTCCCATAGGGTAAGTATCCTATACTTACTGCTTGTAACATGCCTATTATACCTGGTGAAATTAAGTAGTAGTCTATTCTTGAAGCCGACACATGTTGACTGCGGTTCTTCTTTAAGTAAGTGAACTGTCTTTCTTCCGGGAAAAGGAGCCTGTAAGGATCCACCAGATCTGTATTAGTCATCAAACTATGAATAGGTAAAGCTTCTTTTGACAATCCCTCATCCCACGATCTAACCCCTCCCGATAATCTATCTTAGTTAGGGTCTAATGCGGCGTTCCAGTCCCCTGCTAATATTAAGTGTCTGTTTGCTTCCAAAATTTCGTGGAGGCGATCTATAAACTCTACTCTATGTTGGAAAGCATTAGGACTGTATACTGAAACTAACGTGTAAGGCTCGTCATGTAGTTCAAAGTTGACCTTTACCCACCTCCCTTCTACTTCATCTACC